TTGCCTAGCAGGTGACAGTAACCCTGGTTCAAATCCTGGTACTGCATATGGTCCACTCAGCACTGCCAGGTATGGCCTTTAAGCTAAAAGTTAATAGGAATGGCCCCTGAGTCCTACTGGTGGTAGTCCTCCCAAATAAATAATACTACTAGAAAAACTTAAATGACATCCGATTTGTATGGTGTTTCTTTACTGCTCTCTGCAAGGCAGTTAGTGAGACAGGATAGTGAATATGTGTCTAGAGGCTGAACAATGCACAGTCTGAGACTATTTCATTTCTCAAGGCTGAGGAGGCTCCATCTTCATGGAAAGCACTTGCTGCAAGCCCTTTATTCTTAGATTGAACTGCATGGATTTCAGTCGAAAAGTCAAAAGTCGAAAGCACTGTTAAGAATCAAGATATCACTTTTGAGCGACTGAGAATCAAGATATCAATTCAGTAATAAAACATGTTATTAGTGTATTGCTAGGACATAAGTAATCTCTGTAGCCCTGTGTGTACCCTGCATGAATTGTGTTTGGAGAAGCATATTTCATTTCCTAAGAGGTATGCCCAAGGCACTGGTCTCCCTAGCAACCCAACTCCATCGACTCTTTCAGGTTGCACTAGTTCTAGTAGGGAAGCAGGTGAGTGGATAAAGGTTCTCTGTGGTTACAGCATCCTGACATGGGGGCTCTTTCATTCCAAGGCATATGGGACTCTGGTGGCCTAGTCTGAAGTGATGAGAGGGCTTTTCTCCCAGAAGTTGACTACATGTTGTGAGAACACAGTCCACAGAAGTCAGCTGTGACCTCTGGAAGGTTATTGAGTCTGTGGTAAACACAGTAGAGAAACTCTGACAGGTGTCAAAGAAATTGGGACAGAGAGAAAATTGAGGTCCTGGGATGTCTTGGCCCAGGTTTGGCAAAGACAGTCACTGTTTAGGGACTACTTTGGCTTTTCAACACTGAGGTTTGCTTTCCGTGGGAGCATCAGGAGTGAGCTGGCTAATCTTTTTTGTTTGTTTTTGGGTCACACCTGGCAGTGCTCCGGGATCATTTCTGGAAGGCTCACATGGGGTCCTCAGAACTGAACTGGATGGCAAGTGCTGTATCTGCTGGACTATCACTCTGGACCATGCTTATATATTTTTTGAAACAGAATAAAGCAATATAATTGATCTGGTTAATGTTTCTATTGAACATACAAATTATAGACATAGTGTATCAAAGTGTGTAGGGCGTTTGCCTTGCATGCGGCTGACCCGGGTTTGATTCCTCTGTCCTTCTCGGAGAGCCCAGCAAGCTACCGAGAGTATCTTGCCTGCACGGCAAAGCCTGGCAAGCTACCCGTGACGTATTTGATATGCCAAAGATAGTAACGACAAGTCTCACCATGGAGACATTACTGGTGCCCGCTCGAGCAAATCAATGAACAATGGGAGAACAGTGCTACAGTGCTACAGTTTATCAGCAAAAATTTATCCAATAACCTTTTAAAATCCATATTTTCAACATAATCATTGACTGCCACAGTCAAGTGTAGACATATAATTGTGAAACACAAAAACTAAATATGTCTTGATGCTTTGAAGTATATTTTTCCTTGGTTGCTCCTTTCATGTAAGCAAGGAGATTGACGTGTATATATCAATCTACATATATAAATCCTGATATATTTTTCTATATTATACCATCTGTATTAACGATGGAGTCACACAGGTATCTTCAATTCTGACCCATTAAAAATAGCATTATAGAGTTATATGTATTCTCAAATTGAGACACAATTCAATTATCAATATTTGTGCCTAAAACAATTCAGAATTGCCTATGGCAAACAATTATAATTGTTGATCTAGATCCATTCTTTTTACATGCCTGCTCCCCACCCAAATTACAAGACCATACATTTTGAATGGGCTGGAGCGATAGCACAGTGGTAGGGCGTTTGCCTTACAAGCGGCCAACGTGGCTGACCTGAGTTTGATTCCTCCGCCCCTCTCAGAGAGCCCGGCAAGCTACCGAGAGTATCTCGCCCGCACAGCAGAGCCTGGCAAGCTACCCGTGACGTATTCGGTATGCCAAACACAGTAACAACAAGTCTCATGGAGACGTTACTGGGCCCGCTCGAGCAAATCGATGAACAACGGGAGGCCCGTGACCGTGACCCGTGACATTTTGAATAGTTCTTTTCAGTTGAGTGAAGTTCCTGCCAGTGGAAAAATTGTGAGACACCTAGTAACTCTTCTGAGCATAAGAAAAAATTCCATGAACATTTCCCTTTCCTTTTCTTCTTTTTAGCCTGGTACTCATCAAGTTGACTATAACATAGCAGCCAATTGGATCATGAAGGAATCGTGAGATTAGAAAATAGTGCAGTATAATAATACAAAAACCGGGGGGGCAAAAGTTAGGGTGGGAAAGGGATCACTATGACAATGATTGTTGGAAATGATTACTCTGGACAAGAGCTGAGTGCTGAAAGGAGGTAAATAATATGTAAACCACAAACCACAATGCCTAAAAGCAGGGGTGGGGGAGATGGAGGAAGAGGAGAGGAGAGAGAGAAGTGACTGCCATAAAGGCAGGCTGGTGGGTGTGGGGACGATGGTGTCAGGAGGGAAACTGAGGACATTGGTGGTAGGAAATGTACACTGGTGAAGGGTTGGGTGTTTAGGTGTTGGAACATTGTATGAATGAGACCCAATCATGAACAACTTTGTAACTGTATCTCAAGGTGACTGAATAATTAAAAAAGGATATTAAAATATTGTGGTTTATTCCTAGATACTGTTTGAGTAAAAAGAAATAGTCAAAATTTCAATGCCACTCACTAACCAATGGGTTTTTAAACCTTTATTCCAGCATGTGTTCTTTCTTTTCTTTTCCTTTTTTTTTGCTTTTTGGGTCACACCCGTAATGCTCAGGGGTTACTCCTGGCCGTGCACTCAGGAATTACTCCTGGCGGTGCTTGGGGAACCATATGGGATGCTGGGAATTGAACCCCGGTTGGCTGCGTGCAAGGCAAACGCCCTACCTGCTGTACTATTGCTCCGCCCCCTCTTTCTTTTTTTAAAAAAAGCAAATAAAAATGGCTTCAGCTAGCTTTAGTTCTGCCTGCCCTTTCCGAGTCCATTCCATCTATACCCTTCAAATCCTAAGAGAACTTGGAGACAGTAACCAGAAGGCAGCTTTTGGTAAGGTATACTCATTTTTTAGAAAATGGCCGTACATACAGCCAAGAGAAACCAAACAGTAGCTCATAATAAAAATGACAAAACCCATTTGATTTAGACATCAAATCTCAACAGGCCTGGGATATAAACTTGGGGAGAGCAAGTGTTGTGTTCTCTGTGTTGTAAATAGCTGTACGTACCTAGTTGAAAGGCAAACTGCATTTCAGCAGTTAATTATAGAAACTAGTAGGGCTGCATTTATGGGTTGCAGAAGATCTAGTCCAGTTTAACTGAAATAAGCCAGGAAGAGACGATCATGTGGGAAAAGCTTCAGAACTAAGAGATAAATTTGAATGGGGAGCCAGATTTAGGAGAGCATCTCAAAGGCTGAAATGCATTTTGCCCATTTTTCCTCCCTTCTCTTTGGTTGTTGTGCAATAAAGAGCTTGAGTGGAGAGCCTGCTAAAGAAGGGAAATGTTTTTCTACTAGTTATGGATGAGAACCTCCTACTCTGTTGCAGTTTCAGGAAACACCACAAGCATGCCTAGACCCAGGAGAAAGCCTGCTTGAAAAGAATCCAATTCCTTCACTTTTTTCCCTTAGATAATTCTAGCTCCATGGGTGAATGGACAAAGGCAAGAAAGGAAGGTCTAAGTCCACTACTTAGAGTAAAAGACTGGGTCAGCATAATCCGGGCAAAATGAAAAAATAAATCAGTTTAGGGGGGTGGTGGACACCTTGAAATTTCTGTTATCCACTTCCTCCATCCTATAATTGTACTTCTCTGCGTAGGCTGGAAGACCTGCTCCGTGTGCCCACAGCGCCCAAGTCTCCCCGCCCTTCTGATGATGGGTCACTGGGTAGGGAAGTCCTGAAAATTCCTGCTAAACGGCTTGGAGAATAAAATAAACGCACAATTACCAACAAAAGAATTCACCCCCTTCTCCTTCTCATTACACACACTCACGCATGCACGCACACAAATCTCTTTGAGAGTTTTAGCTTTCCGTACAAAATGGGGTGCAGAATTTTCATACATGAAAAGATGTATATTGGAACAGAGTGCAAATTCCTAGCAATTCTACCCTTGGAAGAGAAGTTTTTTTTTTGTTTGTTTGTTTTTGTTTTGCTTTTTGTGTCACACCTGCGATGTACAGTGGTTACTCCTGGCTCACTCAGGAATTACTCCTGGCGGTGCTCTAGGGACCTTATGGAATGCTGGGAATCAAACCCGGGTGGGCCGCGTGCAAGGCAAACGCCCTACCCGCTGAACTATCGCTCCAGCCCGGAACAGTGTTCTACTTGTGCTCCAACTTCAAATTTATGGAGAAACGGCTGAGTAAAATAAAATGGTTTTAAAAGTTACCAACTTCACGGTACACTCGTGATGGTTTCTTAACGAACACACACTAAAAGGACTGGGAATTTCTGCGCTTGCCTCAAAACTGCCAACCACTGCGTAGAGCCAAGATTTTGTCCTTGCCAGGAAGGAGGAAACGCGCATTGACAGGCTTTGGGTGGGGGTGGGGGGTCAGGTACTCAAGGAGGCGTAGTGAGTGACAGCCACCGCCTCCCACACGCCCTCTTGTGCTACGGTAAACAAGGAGGCTCGCGCCCTCAGTCATTACACGAGGGAGGATCCAGTGGGCCTGGTCAATTTCAGGAGTCATCCCATTGGTGGGTCGGAAGACCGAGTCATTCTGATTGGTTAGCTCAGGGGTCCATTAAAGGACGGCCGGCCCCTCTTCCCGACGAGCCTATCAGCTCCGCGCCGCTCTCCGCCCCTCGCGGTATGCGCCCGCCCCTCGCGGCAGAGCGCGTGCGCGCGCCTCCCCCAGCCCGCCACGCTCGCGCCCGCCCGCCAGCCCCGCGCCGGACACTCGCAGTCACTGGGCGAACCCCGAGCGGCCGAGGTCACCGCGGGGAGGCGGGGCGGAGGCAGCATGGCAGCCTCCTTGTGGTTCCGAGGAGCCGCCGGCGGCCTCCGCTACTGGAGCGGCCGGCGGCGGGCGGCAGCGGCCAGCCTTGCAGTCGGTAAGGACCTCGCGCCTCCCCTCCGGTCCCTCACTGCGGCCCGCCCGCTGCTCGCGCCCCGGCGGCCCGAGAGGTCTGGGACGCGCCGCGGGGGGCTCGGAGCCGAAACCCGACCTTTGGAAGCCGGAGCCGAGGCCTGCTGTGCCCTGCGGCCCCGGCGTGCGCCGTTAGGGTTGGCGTCCACCTCCTGCCCTAGATACCGATGACTCGGGGCGCCCCGGCGTCCTTTCCGGGGGGCCCAGGAAGGGGTGGGAGGGATCCGGGGTGAAGGGAAGCTCATTTGAGTCCGGGGCTTGCTTCCCCGACTTAGGGACCCGAGGACGATTGGAGGACCAGCACCAGGGGGTACCCTGCAGCTGCCCGCGGGTGACCCCTGGCCTTGCTGTGCCCGACTTGCCTCCCGGGTGCTCCCGGACTGCGGGCGTACGGTCTGGGTCCCCCCCTAAGGTGATTCCCCCAGGAGTTCCTGTCCGTGCAAAGCAGAGGAGAAGTCATTCCGCTGAGTTTTCAGTCACCCTCGACCCACTCGGCTGGCTTGGCAGTCTTCTCAGTCAAGTCTCTGAAGCTGGGTCTTCTGTCAAATTCTGCACCCTCGCCCCCCGCCCCCCGCCTCCCAAACACTTTCAGTGGCGCCCCCAAACTGCGGCCAGAACCCCTGCCGCGACTCCCCTGCTGCGCCTTGAAATTTGGGGGTAGAAGCAGTTTTCTCCTGTAGGCAGAGCACTGCTGTCCCTTCATTTTTCCCAAGACCAGCCTCGAGGCCCCCCGCGTGAGGCCATCTGGATATGACACTAGCTGGATCCAGAAGGGACACCTGGAGCGCTCCCAGGGATCGAAGTTGTTACCTAGCAAAGATTCATTCCAAGAAATTGGTTGATTCGTGGGGACACTGTCATTGTTGGTCTTGGGAGAGTTTCAGAGTATTCAGGAAGATCATATTCAGGTTTTTTTTTCCCTCTTAAAGTCGCCCTGGTCTTTTGAAAAACAAAAACAAAAACCAGCAACCAGTAACCAGGTTAGCAAGTCCCCTTTCTCCTCTTAAGTAAAACCTAAGCAGAATTGTGCCCTTTTTCCCCCTCTCTGGCTTAAGAAGGACAGGCTCCATGTGAAGCAATAAGACAGATAACTGATACAGAATCACTGTAACAAGATACAGACCCAGAGAATTGGCCAACCCCGGTGTAACCACTATTTGAGTTACATGATATAAAATGCCTCCCACGTTGGAGATACTTAAAAAAAGATTAGTCACTTTCTGACAGTAATAAATGTGGCCTCAGTTCCTTTTCATATGAATGTCCAATTCTTTGGCTTTTGATTAGTGGACATATGAGGTCAATGGTTTTATAAAGTGCTCCAGTAATGTTTTAATAAATCCTTTCTGGGTCAGGAAAGTTCTTACACTTAATGGTAGAACAGGGATATGCCTAAATTAGTGATAATTTTGTTAACTGTGAAAACCTGCTCACAATGCTGCATGACGTTAATACCGTGTTCCCAAAGGTGGTATAGATTGAGAGTGCAGATTTGTGATTTTTTTTTTTTTGTGGGGGGAGGAGATTACTAACACCTGGTAATGTTCATGGTTTACTCCTGGCTTTGTGCTCAGGAATCACTCCTAGCGACCTTCAAAGAACTATATATGGTGTGGGAATTGAACCCCTGTTCACTCTGTATGACAAGCGCCCTACCCCTGTATTATCTCTCCAGCCTCAAGATTAGTGATAACTTTTTAGTCATTCTTTTTGTAATGATTGTTTGAAACCCTTTAGCAATTGTGTTTTTTCCCCCTATGGTGTTGTTTGAAGTGTTTCAGTTAATTTTTAGATTACTACAGAAGTGTTCATTTTCTTGATCTTGGAGTTGTACACAATACAAAGAATATTGGCTCTGCTTTTAGGGAACAGCAAAAGAAAGAACCATGATCAAGTAATGTCATCATTTAGTCATGTTAATTCTTAGGGATATTTGTCTGCTTAACATGTGTTAAGTTGTCTGTATCAAGACTCCTTAAACTATTTCCACTTGTGATCCCTTTTTGCCTGAGACAATTTTACATAACCCTGGGTCTATAGATATATAAAATGGGTATATGAGTAAAAAATTTACTGATAATTTTATTTTAAAACAAAATTTTGGTTTTGGGCTACAATAAGCAATGCTTATACCTGACTCTGCTCAGGCATCAGTCCTGGTGGGGTGCACGAGCCCATATGTAGGGCTGGGGATTGAACTAGGGTCTGCTGTGTGCAAGGCAAGTGCCTTAGCCTCTGCACTATCTTTCCAGTCTCCCTAAAATCAAATTTTTGGGATATTTATCGACCCTCACATACAGTTATACAACACCATATGTTATCACAATGCGTGAGGATATACTGAAAGGATACTTAAAGTTTATTTTCTGTTTTTGGGAAAAGGGAGAGAGAGGGAGAGGGGGAGAGAGAGGAAGGGAGAGAGAGAGCGAGCTCGCGCTAAAATTGTTGCTTGGAGCGATAGCACAGGGCTGGAGCGATAGCACAGTGGTAGGGTGTTTGCCTTGCACGCAGCCAACATGGCCAACCCGAGTTCGATTCCTCCGCCCCTCTCGGAGAGCCCGGCAAGCTACCGAGAGTATCTCGCCCACATGGCAGAGCCTGGCAAGCTACCCGTGATGTATTCGATATGCCAAACACAGTAACAACAAAGTCTCCAATGGAGACGTTACTGGGCCAGCTCGAGCAAATCGATGAACAACGGGAGGGCCTTTACCTTTACCTTTTAATACATTTTAACCTTATAACGTCCAAAGTATTAGAATGACATAGGATTTTTATGTGGGAGGCCTGGGTTTGATTTCTGACACCATATGATCCCCTGGCAGCCAGGAAAAAACCCCGAGCATTGCTGGGTGTGATCCGCCCCCACCAGAACCAAAGACAAATCAACCGAAAAAATCTTTATAGTTTTGATTATAAAACTAAACTATACACACTATATACACTGAAAGGTTGTGGAGTACAAGAGAGAATATTTATTTCTAAAGTGGTTCAGACAGGGCTGGAGCAATAGCACAGCGGGTAGGGTGTTTGTCTTGCACATGGCCAACCAGGGTTCGATTCCCAGCATCCCATATGGTCCCCTGAGCACCACCAGGAGTAATTCCTGAGTACAGAGCCAGGAGTAACCTCTGTGCATCGCTGGGTGTGACCCCAAAAAAGTGCAAAAGAAATAAAAAAGTCCAGACAGGCAGGGTCTTCATAGAGAAAGTCGCCATCTTAGTTTAGTAACTCTTCATGAAAACAAAAGAGATTGCTGTGGCATGAATGCAGTATGATAAAGTAGGACACAATTTTATCCAACGTAATCATGATATGATAAAAAGTTGTGTTCGGAAGACTGAATTGTTTAAGTGCCAAGAGTAGTTTTATTATGAGGTAAGACTTTTTCCCTTTTGACTAATTTATTTCTGTCTTCCAATTTTGTACAGTGAACATGAATTACTTTGATTAGTAAAGAATAAAAGTTTTGGACATATAAAATAATTGCTGCCAATTACTGCATTTTGTATTTTTTAAAATTTGTTTTTGGGTCCAACACACCTGGCTGTGCTCAGGGCTTACTCCTACTTCAGTGCTCAGGGGAGCATATGCAGTGCCAGGGAACAGCAGTGGACTTGGCCATGTGTAAGGCAAGCACCTTAATCTCTTTACCACCCTTTGGCTCCAGTTACTGTATTTTGAGCATTAGAGTTCCCTTGCTTTTTGGGGGGATCACTTCATGTTAGCAAATTAAGGATAAGTGCCCATGTCCCATTGGAGAAGGAGGTCATAATTTATAAGCAGGCAGTCAACATTTTTGTGTGTTTTTTTTTTTCTTGGGGGGAAGGGGGGTGGAGCAGGGGAAGAACACACCCTTTGAGGCTCAGGGAACCATGAGTTGCCAAGGATCAAACCCAAGGCCCCTGTCCGCAAAGCATGCGTGTACTCTGCAGCCCTTTGGACTCCCTCCCAGCCTGTTATATAATTTCTTTACCAGTTTACCAGTGTCACCTCTCTCTAAGGACTTTCTGCCAGCTTGCTTTTGAACCATAGTCTACTATTTTCACGCACTACTGCTGTGTGTGACCTAGAAAAAGATTTAAGTTTTATTTGTTGGAGAATTCTTCAGGTGGTGAGGACTCCATCAAGAGCACATCTTAACTTTCTGCTACTTGGAAACAAATTCTACCTAGCATACTCCTCATGCTTCTCTGAAAGAAAACCTTTATTTCCTTATACAGTGCATGCCTGGGCTGGAGCGATAGCACAGTGGTAGGGTGTTTGCCTTCATGCAGCTGGCCTGGCTGAGCCGGGTTTGGTTCATCTGCCCGTCTCGGAGAGCCCGGCAAGCTACCGAGAGTATCTCGCCCTCACGACAAAGGCAAGCTCCTCCTGACATATTTGATATGCCAAACACAGTAACAAGTCTCACAATGGAGACGTTATTGGGCCCGCTTGAGCAAATTGATGAACAACAGGAGGACAGTGCTACAGTGCATGCCTGTAGTATTCTCTGTACCTTCTTACTTTCCAACTTTTGTAACCTATCAGACACACACACACACACATACACACATGGCAAAAACCAAAAAAAAAAAAAAAGGTAGGCAAGCCTTTTGCTTCAGATTTTCTCCCAGAGCTGACTATGTCCAGCAAGGGGCCATTTCTTGGTAGAAGACGTTCCCCTTTTTACTGTGTCTAGACAAGGGATTCTCTGTGACATCTATAATAAGAGAAAACCCACTATTAAGATTCTACCCCCTCCTTTCCCAGCTACCTCCCAAAAGTCCCTCATCAGATACCCCACATAGGGTTCTGTTTCAGTGTGGTATAGGGAGGAGTGATGGGGTGGGGGACATGGACATGTTCAGTCTATGGCACTACCTCTTGCTTAGGAATAGCCTTCAGGTTGCTCTGCGTGCTTCTAGGCCTTCTGCATTATGATTGCGTGCTTGCTTTCGTTCTTTGATTTGCTGCTTGTTTTGTGTGCATTTTTTTGGAAGAGTACAGGGCAGTGTTACAGAGTAAGAATGAAGACCTTGGGGCCAGAGGGATAGCGACATCAGGGTGCTTGCTTTACATGCAGCTGATCTGGGTTTGTTCCCTGCCCACCACATATGGTTTCTTGAGCCCAGCCAGGAGTAATCCTTGAGCACAGAGTCTGGAGTAAGCCCAGTGCACAGCCAGGTGTGGCCGGAGGTGGGGGGAAGTTCAAGAAGAACCCGGAATCCGATCGACTGGATTTGAATCGTGGCAGTATGGGTTAGTTTAATACAGTCTTGGGCATTTTATTTAAGTTCAGCTGTGTCAGGGAGCTGAGCTGTGAGACAGGTCATGTCCAGCAGTTAGTATGTTATCTACATGTAGTACAATTGCCGCAAATATCTGCTCTTTCTCTTCATTTTCCCTTTGGTTTTCCTAGTTCCATTCTTGCACTGGTTTTTCTTTTCATAGGTGTTCCCTTCTTTCCTATCCTCCTTTCAATTTTATGCTCTGCTCATTTTGGAATACTCAGGTTAAGTGATTTCTTCTTCAGGTTCTCAAACCACTTGGAGTCCCTGACTCTGTCTCTGGCTTCTCTCTCTGTCTGTCTGTCTCTCATTTTGGGCTCACACCTGGTGTGGTGCTCAGGGCTTACCCATGGCTCTGCACTCAGGAATCATTCCTGGCGGGGCTCAAAAGAGCATATGATGTCCCTGTGCTTGATAGTGGACATCTGGTCAGTGGTACCCATCTCCTAGCCAGGGACAAAGCCGATCCTTGCTTATCCCTAACTGGCGTTTGGTCTGGTTCATGCCATGGACACAGACTGCAAGGTTCATTTCAGTCAGATACCTCATTTTCTCTATGTATTTTGGTGTAGTTTGAGCTTTCTGGATCTGTTTTTAGTGTCATCCTGTGTGTGGTGAATTAAAATCTTCAGTTAACTATAAAAAAGTATAAAGTAAAGGCCCTCCCGTTGATTATCGATTTGCTCGAGCGGGCCCAGTAATGTCTCCATTGGAGACTTTGTTGTTACTGTGTCTGGCATATCGAATACGTCACGGGGAGCTTGCCAGGCTATAAAAAATAATAATAAAAAAATAGAAGAGATATGTGATGCTGGCGATTGAACCTCTTGCGAGGTGGGCATCCTACCTGCTAAACTACTGTTCCAGTCCTGGAGCCTCCATTTTAAAATACTTTAATCCTTAACTTTCTTGAATTAATGTTAGTGTGCATAGTACTTGGGGTGGAGGCGGGGAACCTTGTGGTGCTCAGGTACTACTTCTGGCTCAGGGATCACTTCTGGTGATGTTGGGGATTGACTGAGCTTCCCTTTGAGCTGTCTCCTGTACCCTACATGCATGTTACTTGCTTGGGGTTTGAAACTTGCTGGAAGCAAGGACTCTTATTTGACTTCTGGCACAGTGCATATTTATAAGAGTCACTTTATATTTGTCAAATGGATGAATGGACTTTGCCATGTTTATTAAATATTTGACCTCGGGTGAGTTATTTTATTTTTTTGTTAAAGAATTAGCTAAGTTCTCCTTTTTTTAATTAATCATAGCATCATCTTGATTATCCTCAAAAGTATAAGCAGTTGAGAAAAGAAATACGACTTTAAGGAATCAAAGGGCTAATATCTGTGACTAAACATATTTAAATTATTCTAAAGGCTAATCTTTGACAGTAAAAGAAAACCTCCATTCTAACTGGGTTTTGCCAAAAATTATAATTATGTTCGACTAAAAACCCTAAATAATAAACTCTGTCAAACAGATAAGTAAAACTAAATCCTAAACTCTATGGAACAATAACTATATAGGTCTAGGAAATCGAGTGACAAAAAAAGATAACTTTTTATTGGTCATACTTATGGCTTTTTGATAAGTTAATCAGTATAATCTTTCAAAACTCAGCATTGGCCACCTCTATGTTTTGTAAACTCATTCTGTTTATTTCTAGTTTATATCACATATAAATAAAACAGAGCTGAAAGCTCATCTAAGCATAGTTCTTAAGCCCAGAGACACGTTTAAAATAAAATTTCTGCCCTTTATGGATTACTTCTTGCTCTTTTCTCAGTTTCATGATGAAGATATATGAAATGGGTTAGGTCAGAATGCCATCCTTTTAATATGATTTTTATTACTTATCTCTTTCAATTAAGTTAGTGCTTTAAGCCACAATCTTCCTAGTTTCTCTCGAAGGTCAACACAGTTGTCTGGCACACTGCATTATTAATTAGTGTCAGGATTCTCATACAAAATTTACTTCTCATTTTATTAAATATCAAAATAAAATTAAATCACTCATGAATTGAACCCTCTGTGAATCAGAAAGTCAGACACAGAACTGTTACAAGTGGTGGCAGTATTCAACAAGAATGACACACAATGTTTTGTGGTAATATTAAATATAATAGAGTCAAATTAAAATGAATTACGTATGCCTGTGACCCAAGATCTTTATTTCTTATACATTCGGGCTCTTAATTATTTTCTGTGAGGAAATCATTACATTTAGTGTAAGGTTGAGGAAGAACATGAATCCATCAGCTGAGAGCATCTGAAACTTAAAATTGTGGTTCTATTACATTTATATACCATTTAAGCCTGGAGTCTGAAAGAAAATGGAAAGGCTGCGAAAGTTGGGAGATATGGCAAGGGGGTTAATTGCCAAGATGGTGAGGGTTAAGGGTCTTAGGACCTTCTCTTGCTTTTGCTTACCTCTGCCTAAGTACTTTATGCAGCAAATATTTGTTGAGTTGAGCTTTCAATCTCGAGGTGAAGAAGTATTATCTGCGATTTTTTTCTTTTATGGTAACGCAAAGGCTTTGCTCTCTTGCACAAGGCATTGCTTTGAATTGTGTGCTCCAGGGTCACCTCAGAATGTCTTGTGAAAATAAAATTAAAAAGAAAACCCACACTTAGTTTTTAAAAACTTTTTTTTTTCTGGACAAAAGACTTCTCTTGAAAGTGCAAGGAATTGTTGGACCATTTCCTTGAGACTATTAGCTTTGCCATTCAAAACCCACAGATGATTCCCCTTCCTCTCTCCTAGGACTACTTGAGTAAAAAGTGACTTATTGTTTGTTTTGGGGCCACCCCCTAGTGGTGCTCAGGGCTTACTGGTGTCTCTGCTCAGGGATCACTCCTGGCTTTTTGACCCTAAATGTGATTTTTTTGGGTTTAACGTTTAATTAAGATTGTTTCTGCAGGGGTGGGAAAGACGGCTCTGTGGACTGAATGCATGCTTTGCATGCTGGATGCCTGGATTCCATCCTGAGCACTGTCAGGAGTGACCCCTAGCACAGAGCTAGGAGTATCTGAGTACATCCAGGTTTTTAATACCACTGAAGAGGATGGTTTCTATAAGTGTGAAGGCAGAAAGGTAAAAATTTTTCTGTTCTTAGGCCTTGTTCAAGATACAGGTTTTATGGAATGCTTTAATATTTAAAAAAAATCCATTGCTAAAGGAGTTCATATAGATACAGAGAACCTAGAATATGTTAAATTAGCAAGTAAAGTAGCACTGTAGCACTGTCCTCCAGTTGGTCATCGATTTGCTCGAGTGGACACCAGTAACGTCTCCACTGTGAGACTTGTTACTGTTTTTGGCATATCGAATACGCCATGGGGAGCTTGCCAGGCTCTGCTGTGTGGGCTGGATACTCTCGGTAGCTTGCGGGGCTCTCCGAGAGGGATAAAGGAATCGGACCTGGGGTGGCATGCAAGGCAAGCACCCTACCTGCTGCTGTGCTATCGCTCTAGCCAAGTAAAGTATATATATATATATATATAAAATCCTATATAATTGATAGGATTATTAACATTTTGTTAAGAATGGTAAAGAGATATTAAGAAAGTTTATGACTTCATGATTGCCACGGAGAATACAGAAGAGGAGTTACTTAAAAGTTTTCATTGTTTCCTGGAGATTTAAATAATCAGAAGTTAGTTTGCCTTTATATCCTTGCTATCTTTAAATGTGATTAGATTTGCCTGCATTGCATTTGTGAAGCCCTGGGTTTGGTCCCCAGTATCCTCCCCAAAGGAATTAAATGTGATTAGATTAAAAATAGACCTTGTTGGCTGGGGAGAGGGCAGTTGGGATCGAGAAGGGATCATTGTGACAATGATGGTTGGAAGGGATCACTCTGGATGCGATGTGTGCTGAAAATAGGTAAAGGACCAAACATGATGGCTTCTGCATTGCAAACCATAATGCCCAAAACGGTGTGGGGGGGAGGGGGGTGTGAAGGGGGGGAGAGATGGAGGAGAGAGGGAGGAACGAGGGAAAGTTCCTGGGGAGGTGGGGGGTGGCAGGAGGGATAGGGGGATATTGGTGTGAAATGTACACTGGTGGAGTAATGGATGTTGGAATATTGTATGATTGAAATCCAATCATGAAAGCTTTGTAACTGTATCTCAGGGTGATATAATTTAAAAAAAGTAGCTCTTTTTTATTTTGCAAGTGGGGCTCCCACGCAGAGCTCAGGGTGCTTGGGGACACTTTTAGAGTATATTGGGCGACCTGGCAGTTCAGCGTGAGGGTTCAGGGATGTGGTACTTCTTGGACTCTGCAATATTGGGGACCTACAGAGCCACACTTGGTATGCTCTGGGACCAGGTGGTATCAGGGGTTTAATTCTAGCCTCTGTATTATAGTCCTGGCCCTAAAACTAGCATTTCAATGAGGCTGAGATCCTGGAACCCAAATAAATTTGGGTACCTGATCCCTGGTACCCAAATAAGTTTAAATAAAACTAGTCTTTTAACAGTTTTTAAATAGAAAAGTTTTTATATAGCAAGTGACTTACTAATGCTGAATTAATGTTTGCAAGAAAAAAAGATTACCTGCTCTACTGAAACTAATGTATTGAAATCAGTGTGTTCTAGGTCAATGGCCTCTAAGACTCCAGTTGGATTTATTGGACTAGGCAACATGGGCAATCCAATGGCAAAAAACCTCATGAAACATGGCTACCCACTCGTTATTTATGATGTGTTCCCTGATGCATGCAAAGACTTTCAGGATGCGGGTGAACAGGTAAGGTCTTTCTTAAAAAATTGTGTTGGATGGGTGTTGGAGCATTGCATGACTGAAACCCAAATGCAGACAACTTTCTAACTGTGTATCTCACCATGATTCAATTTAAAAAATTGTTTGATTTGTATATTTAAGAATGGATATCTAGTCAGTTAAGTGACACTTTCTTATAAGTATGGAGCTACGATCCTCGTTCGATGTTGATTTTATTTGTATGTGTTTTTAATAAAAACTTTATTTTTTATTATATTTTATTTTTTTGCTTTTTGGGTCACACCCGGTGATGCACAGGGGTTACTCCTCGCTCTACACTCAGGAATTACCCCTAGCGGTGCTCAGTGGACCATATGGGGTGCTGGGAATCGAACCTGGGTTGGTTGCGTGCAAGGCAAACACCCTACCCGCTGTGCTATTGCTCCAGCCCCTGAAAACTTTTAAAGCTTTCATTCTGCAAGCAGGTGTGCAGCTAAGGTGTGCTTTGTGAAATAATAAGGAGATCAGTTCTTCAACAGGTGGTTAGACATTTCCCAGGTTTGTTGGGAGGGCTTTGCTTTGGTTGTTTTCTGTTTCCTCAGATAGTTACTATATTTATTGGTTCTGTTGCTAAAGTAGAGCGTGTGGTGGAAAGAGCCTCCTGTGATATTGAAAGGATAGCTTGCCTTTAACCCAGAGTAGGCTTAGAACTAGAGAGCTTAGTCTGAGACCCAGCTTCCCAGATACTTCAGCTTGGAAAAGATGACTTCACCTCAGCCGGTTTCCTTGTATCTGACAGTGGGAATAATGACAAATTGCATTATTAGGCGCAAAGGAAGGGATACATGTAAACAAGCTTTGCACACAGTGGCAGCTTTCTGTGGGTAAGTTATTGGTTACAAATGCGGAGACTTTGTCAGCAGCCAGCCACTGTGAAACTTGGAGCTGAGTGGTGAGGGATCACTCCCATTCTGCTTCCAGGCTCTCATATCGCTCTCTCTGCTTCCATATTTCAAAACTTTGGGGACTAGGAAATTTGCCATCTGAGACAGTTCATGTGACCAGAGATGATGGTGATGTCTGTCATCTTTTTAAAACTCCCTCTTGCCTCTTTTTTTGTTGCTGATGTTGCACTGATGGTGGATCTCACACACAGCCAGAGCTCGCCGTTGTTGTGATGCCGGCGCATGTGACCAGGGTGCTCACACTTTGTCCTTTAGTTGTGGTGCTTGCATCTCTGGGGCTTGCACGCGTTACTTGAGCATACAGGATATGGCTGTGCGGCTCTGCCGGGGTCACTGTGGTGCTCACACATGTGTCATTCAGGAGTCCTACTTCCTGTTCATGGCACTGGTAATTAAAAACATTTTTTTAAGAAATTTTCAGTAGTTATGGTGCTTGCTAGGGATCACACCTCTTTCGGTGTCTAAACACATCTGGCCGTGGTGTCATGAAATGTTGCTTCTGGTACTGGGGATTTCGGGCAGAGCGGCCAGCTGCTGGCGGCAGAGCTGTAGGTAATTTCCCGCTCGCAGGGCAGTCATCCTGTGCCTCGCACCCTTCCTCCAGCTCCCCTCTGTCTTTTCCTGTGGGTTTGTTGAAAGTTATCAGGAACTCAGTGCACAGGAGACCAAGAATGAAAAACTGATTTTTATGCAGGGTGTGGAGTGGGAACTGACGGCTGAATAGAATCCGAGAATTGGGTGAATATGAAAACCATGTCTGAGAATTACAGCAGGTGACAGAAAACACAAAACTCTGGCTGGAGACTTGAAGCGGGTGCCGAGACGCAAAGCCTGTCCTGTCAAGGACAGGGTGTGCAAGGGCGGGTGCGGGGGATCAGGTGGTCTCCTCCGGCCCCTTTTCTTTTGTGTCGTCTGAGGCTGTGACACTGTCCTGCTGAGACTCTCAGGAGACTTGTCTCACGCTGACACCGTGCCACAGCCCAGCAAGATTCTAGCTGACCACGAGCAGCTGAGGGACGTAGCCTTGTTGGAGAGGCGAAGGAGATAATCTGGGAAAGGCAGTAGCCGCCATCTTCAGGGATATAGGCAGTATAAGTCACAATTGAATTTGGGTTGAATTTGGGTCATTTTGAGGAGATGGATATCCTCAAAAACTGTAGTTCCCCCCCCCCTTCCATTTTCACTGTGGTACCATGATTCACAGTACTGTTAATGATAAGACATATTGTCCCAGAGCCACACCCACCGCCAGAGTGTCCTCTTCCCTCCATTCTTGTCCCAAAGACCCCTCCCAGGCTCTCTTCCCCCCAGACAAGCTCAGATATGGAAACCAACTCTCTAGTTCTGTTTACTTTCGCTATTTGTTGGTCCTTTACTATGTATCTGTATTTTACTCAGTTCTTTTTTAAAGGTATTTCATCTGTATTTTACTCAGTTCTTTTTTAAAGGTATTTCATCTGTATTTTACTCAGTTCTTTTTTAAAGGTATTTCATCTGTATTTTACTCAGTTCTTTTTTAAAGGTATTTCCTTCCTCCCTCCCTCCCTCCCTCCCTTTCTTTCTTTCTTTCTTTCTTTCTTTCTTTCTTTCATTCATTCATTCATTCATTCTTTCTCTCTGATAGAAAGGTAGTACAGTGAATAAGGCACTTGCTTTGTAGGCAACTGACTTGGGTTCAAACCCTGGTATCCCATATAGTCCCCTGAGCCTGTCAGGATTGGTCACTGAGTGCAGAGTCAAAAGTAAACTCAGGGCACCTCTCGGTGTGGTCCCCAAAGAATTCATTCTATGATGAAAGGTAAATCTAAGAATTAGGTGACAAGAAAAAATGTTGTTGAAGTATGTATGCAGCAGTGCAGTGAAGGGGTGAAGGATTCAGAGATTGAGTATATTTGAGTTTATTTTATTGTTTTTCTTGGGGGGGGGGATGTAGGGCCACACCAGGTGGTACTGGGGGGCTACTTGTGGGTCTAGAGGTTAGTGCATCATTTCAGCTTCTTAGTATCTTTTCTGAAAATCACGACCCATGGTAATGATCAGTCCTTTGTGCAGTTGTAAATCAGGAAGCTACAACTGCAGTGGCTTACAAACAGAAGCCACGGAGCCACGCTGCCTGGCCTTGGCGCTCTCTTAGCCCTACCACATGTGGCTGTGTGTTGTCAAACAGATGAGTCAGCTCTTCTCCTCTATAGTAGGTGGAGTGATAGGATCAGCCGCTCAGTGCTGGAGACCTGGCATGCAGAAGGCGCTGTCGCTGCTGGGGCTGGCAGTTGTACCGAAGATGTGCTTCTCTCACATCTCCTCTCTCCAGCAGCTCACAGTGCACCACTGTCTTGGCTGAGATAGAGTTTAGTGAGCTGGTGCAGAGGATTCCAGGCAACTTAGAGATGAATGAGTGAGCACAGGAGGTAAAGGGGCTTGGAGAGGTAAAGGAGAGGTAAAGTCCCTCTCCTCAGAGTATTTCCTGCGCAGCCCCCCCTGCCTGCTGTTCTTTTGTAGACAGTATTGCTGCCTCCCTTTTGGTCTGTGCTCAGTTTTCATAGGGTAGGGTTATCCTTGGAGCTGTTGCTCTGTGCAAGAATTCTGGGGGCACCCACACACTTTCTCTATGAGGTTCTGTGTTGAATGGGACCAAATTGGATCCCCTCTCTCTCCTTTTGTTTTCTCTTTAAAAACTTGGAAACTGCCTCCCTGTTCCCTTGGTTGTAAGGCTGAACACGTGATTCTCCTGGGATCTAGTCCGGCATCTACTCAGGTCTTGTTCAGAAGTGTATTCATTTATATATTTATTTAATGTAAGAGTACTGCTATTTATTCAGCCACTGACTGAGCTGACTGGAGCAGGCATGTATTCCATATTACTTTAAAAAATGTTTTTTTTAATTGAATATCCGTGAGATAGACCATTACAAAGCTGTTCATGATTGGATTTTTGTCGTACAATGACCTCACACCCATCCCTCCCGTAGTGTATATTTCCCACCACCAGTGTCCCCTGTTTCTCTCCCACTATCCCCCACTCTCCCAACCCCCCACCCACAGCCTCATCCCATGGGAAGCACCCTCCTTCTTGCTTTCTCTCCTTTTCCTTTTGTGCATTACTTGCTCAGAAGTTTAAAAGCCACTCACTGTGTGGCCTCTGTCATGGCAGACCAAGTGTTTCAAGGTGTGTGTGCAGACTGTCCGTCCTTTGAGTGTGGTGTCACTGTGAAACTAACAGTGTGCTGTTCTTGGAAAGGTAAAAAGCCATCGAGTGGCAGCTTGAACAAGGTCCTGCTGGTCTGTTTTCTTTGCAAGTTTCTGTTTACTCATTTGGTTCACTTGGCAGCAGTGCCAAGCTGAACTTACCTCAAAAATGCCATTTGTGATTGTTTGATCACAGACAGCAAGATTTTTCTCTGGGTGCAAAGTAACTGGGTGACACTTGTCTCCTTCCCATGAATATATTTTCATGAGTTAATTTTCTTTCTTTGTTGCTGTGGCACCCCCTGTCTGGCAGCAGTGTGGGCCCATTTCACTGTGGTATTCTCTGGTGCTTGCACACCCAGCTGTGCTGCTTGCTGGTGGGGTCCGGTTCAAACAATGCTTTCGCCACAGGGCTTGTGCTGCCCGGGCTGCACTTCCTCACTGTGATGCTGGAATATCTGTTTAGGTTGTAGTGCCCACAGGGTGGAGGGCTTGGGGAAGGATACCCCTTTGGTTGTGGTGCTTGTGGATCTCTGACTGTGACATGGCTAAAAATCACTGGCGCTGGGATCCCAGAGGGCAGAGCTGCCGGGGTACTGGGCCCAAACGTACAGCCCTTCCACTTGGAATGCAGGAGCTCTCAGCTGCCGGACCAGGCTGAGGATACCTCGTGACTAGATGAAACCATGATGCCTTCACTTCCGATTATGCCTGAGCCTGCCGCTTGCCCCAGGCAGCTGAGTAGATTTGCCCCCTAATCAGACGATCTGCTCGTTGCATTGGACGCTTGCCACTGCTGTGTCCTAGTGTACAGATGAGTCCAAGTCTGGAGAAAGTGGCTGCAAAAATGGTAAAGACAGTGGATACTGTAAAAAACAGGGAGCCAGACGAAACCGATGGGAGAAGAGTTGCTTTTTTTTTTTTTCCATTTAGGATGGCACAAGAACCCAGCAGTTGGAAATTAGTAAGATATTCCTGGGGGGCCCTGGCTGAGTGTGGTCAGGGCCATGAACAGAGCTGAAGAAGAATCCTGGACCATGTTGGTCATGAGTTGTTGCCATCTGTTCTGCCCATCGGCCACTTTTCAGTCTGTCCTGTCCCATCCTAGAGCTCAAGGCTACTAAATAGGAACCAAATTTTTCTTTTCTATTTTGGCTTAAGTTTCTTTCTGCTCTGGAGTGAGATGTCATTAAAGAGAATCCAAATCACTATTGTTATTTTGTCGATTCTGACAGTGAAGTCAGCAAGAGTAAGCGATCTGTACAAAGTCACACATGACTTAATGGCTGCAGGGCGACTAAATGTGGGTTTCTGGCTTCCCAAATGAGTGTTCCTTTCTCCAAGTCACGTTGCTTCTGCTTATCCATTCAGTTTGCAAATATAATTGAAGGGACTCTAATTAGTTTGACTTCTGAAGGTTTTCATGGTTAGCGTCTGACTATAATGGGTTGTTCCCCCCCACCCCCTTCAGCTTTTGAGTCATGGCCAAATTTTGTCAGTCAAGTATTTCAGAGTGTTGAAACATCACATGGAAGGCAAGATGATTTAAATAGCTGGTCACACATGTCTCACATTGTCTAATAAACTTGCCAGGATCTCTAGTGCACATTAGAAACTGTGGCTGTAGTTTATCGTCATTAGAGAAGAGTTGTAGCCAAGACAGCAGTGACAGTCTAGCTTTCATCATCATTGTGTGTTTTTTCCAGACCTGTGAGCTTTGACACCACCTTCCTGTGTAATTGAGGGGTTAGTGGTACCCTGGCAACCCAAGCACCCGAGCATCCCAAGAAGCAGATGCTAGGGAGGCAGGGGGCTGATTGGCCACCCATGCACTTGGCAGTTGCCTGGCCTGGAGCTGCCAGCTTGTGGCTGGAAGAAGCTTGGAGGTGTGAAGTATCGTTAGATCTGTAAGCTAATTGCAAGAACCCACAAGGGCATCTCTCAAGGAGTGCTATGGAAGAGACTCCCATCCCAAGGGAGTGACTAGCATGGATTCTTTGACCTTGGGGCTGGCTGAATTCCCTGCAAGGTATAGAGATGGTGGCTGCAGGAAGGCCAGGCACTGAAAGATGTGCCTTGTGCTTTGCATTTATTTCTTCATTTAAGTGCGATGAACAGCTGGGATCATGTAACCTAAACTCTCCATTTGAGCCAGGAGCAGAGACTTATGATGTTTATAGTTCTTCCTTTTCTTATCTTCTCATCTTACTGAGCTGTATTTTTCTTGAGCAGATTTGAACTGCTTGCTTCATTTTGAATCTCAGTATTTACTTGGGGGCTTTCTTTTAGCTTAGGGATTTCTTTGTCATTGGATGGAAATGTCATTTGATGTAGAATTACGCATCAAAATGATACACATGTTGAGTTTGCCAGATTGTAGATTCTAATTTGCTGAGTGACTTTTAAAATGAAACTTTTGAAAGGGAAAATTTTTTGGTTTTGTTTTAGGGCCTGTTTTAGATTATCATTTACTACCCCATTACCACACAGAATGCTCAGACGCTTGATTGTCTGAAATTATGAAGTATGGCGTCTGATACTGCTTTATATTTAAAATTTATTTATGTAGGATTTGATCCAGAAGCTGGGAGTCTCTTAGGGGTCATTGAAGTGTAATTCCTTTTAGCTCATGCTGTTGGGCTTACTCAGTTTGCTGCTGCTCTTCCACTCAAGTGCCGATTTTGCTTTCTGTTCTTGAAATTCTTCCTGTCCCTTCCGTTTCCTGGGAGCAAGCATGCCATTCTGTGCAGACGTATTCTGAGATTTCCCTGGTAGTTTGTGGTCCTTTTAAAGGAATTTTTGTGACAGTTGGGCTGATGGGCTGATGGATTATTTCTGTTAGCGACTGAGTCCAAGAATAAACTCCAGGTTTTCCTAATCTGTTTTTGTTTGTTTGTTTTGGGGGGGGGAGACTGTGTAGTCTTCCAGATATTTGAGAGGGAGCAGCAGTGTGGGGTGAAGGAGAATAAGGGCATGCATTTCCTTAAGGAGGGAAGCCCTTCCCTTCACAGTGATGGTGACCACCTGGAAAGCGGAAATGGGGATAAAATGAGATCCTCTTGAAGCCTGTCTTTATGTCTGTCTTGTATAGAGCATTTTCTCACAGCTCCTGGTCTTTGTGGTGGTATTCAATGGCACTGCTGCAATCTTTTCTGTTCTAAACCAGTCTTGCTTATATATGATACTCACCCTCCCACCCGGAAGTAGAGATTGGAGGATAGTGGTGATCAAGGCTTGAGAATTTGTGAGGACGTTTTTGCTGCTGATCAAGTTGGTGGTGAATCCCAAGTTGGTGATGAATCTTGCAGTTTGGCTATCAGTCAAATTGTATCAGAATGTTTTTTTCTTCATCAAAGCATCTACAAAAAAAAAATCCTGTGATTTAAGAATAATCCAAGTAGTAGAAATCCATGGGAAGCTTGCTGGTTCCCAGGACCGTTGGGTTTTGCCCTTTCCCCCCAACTTACTTCGCACTTTTTAAAATAAACAGTAGATTTGAGTTCATAGAAGCTTTACATCTATGTGTGTGTGTGTGTGTGTGTGTGTGTTTGTGTATAAGGAATGGACTCTTTCTTGTAGGCAATAAACTTAGATTTTTGTTGCTTGGAAACAATTAATGTTTTCACAGTCCCTGTTCTCATCATAAAAAGCGGCCTCTCCTTGTGCTCTAGAAACTGCTCACATTGAATTTAAGTAATGTGCCTTTACAATTTTTTTTAAAGGTAGTGTCTTCCCCAGCAGATGTAGCTGAAAAAGCTGACAGAATTATTACCATGTTGCCCACCAGTATGAATGCAATAGAAGTTTATTCTGGAGAAAACGGAATTCTAAAGTAGGTATCTCTCAATTGTAGAATTTTTGTTGTTGTTGTTACCAAAGTTCATGCATTTCACACTTGTTAGAACTGCATGGAAATTACATTTAACATTTGTCAATGTTATGTTCTATCAATTTATGTCCTATCCATGTCATGTCATCATAAGTGGATGATGTGGTTTCTCTCTCTTTGTAAGGGATTAATTTATTTTTTTTTTCACTGAAGTCAAGTATGTGACTTTTGTGAATCAATTTTGTTTGATTTCTTTTACCTCTATTAACTCTTGTGTTAAACATGTACTTTTTTTGATATCATGTTTAAGAAACTCTTAAACTGTACCACTGTTACAAGCATAATTTTAATATGGTTTACAGAAATTTAGACAAAGAGTTCGATAAAGAATAAAACTAAGTGCTGGAAAAGAACACCATTATTTAACACTTAAGATATAACAAAAAAGTTATTGTATGTCCTCTGGGTTAGTACATCCATAGTAAAAACTATTGAGAAGTTGAAATTAAGGGTTAGTATAGGTCTTTAAAGTATTATTTGGAACAGAGTTTGCTACCAGTGCCTATCTGCTCTGGCTGATGGGTGCTGATTGACAAACCCTGTGGTTATGTTAGAAAGACAATAGTTGATTCCCAACATGGTTTTCTGTTCTTACTGGTTGCCACTCCTGACTTGGTTATTGAATTTCAGCAAAGAGAACAAACTGATAGGCCCTGTAGACATGTGAGGGCCTTTTAAAAAAAGGTATTTCATTTTATGAAGCAGTAATTCATAAAATTGGAGGTTTGGAATATTGAACTACTTTCAAAAACTAACTCGGCAGCAAGACATTTGGATATTAGGCAGAAAACTGATAAGATAAATGTTTACATTTCAGGGAAGGTTGAAAGACACTCCTTTTGGGCCGTGCTCTGAGATGCCACTGTGTGTGTGGTCCAAGGCAGCCCTGCTGTCTCAGTCCCTCGCCTGCTCGATTATGGCCTTGCTTTACTGCGCAAGGAAGAGTTACTAAAAACTCATGTGGAGACACAATTCTGTGTTTAATAATATCCTTTGCTAAGCAGTGTGGTGGTCAGCTACCAAAACAGTTTTATGCAGAATGAGCTCTAAAACAATTTGGCTTTACGTTGAGCTATAATTTGCTTCCCATAGGTGGGTCTTTATTTTCTGCTGGGTTGGGATCTTTTCCTACATTCATTTTATGTGTAAGTTTTGAGACACAGTGAAATGGACTTACCATTTATTTTAATACATAGATCTTAAAACAGTAGTACCACAGAAAACTGGTAAAATTAATTCTTATTTTTTAGGTCAAAGTAAGTCAGACTATATAGAGGTGGTCTACAGTAGAATTTGCTATTTGTTTTCTGTGGAATTTGGCCAGACATTGCATCTGACCTAGATCAAGTCATTTGTCTAGAATAGTTTAGAGCATTTCATGTGCTCTAGTTTTCTGTAGAAAGATTTTTCTTTAAAAAGAAAATTTTTTTATCAGTGATTTTCTATTTTTCCCTGTCCCTTTCCCTCTATTTTTATATCTATTCAATTCCAATTTTCCACTAATAATCACAGCTAAATGTCCTTTGGGTTAGTTTATCGATAGTAAGAACTTTGGGAAATTTGAATTTAGTGGTAGTCTTTAAGTTGGATAATATAGGTTGTGTTTTGCTGGCCAGTGAAGATAGGCACATATCATAGATATGAGAACTATGTAGGCACACATTTTGCCTCTATAATGCAAACAAAGATAGTTTACTTTGAGAATGTTACTTAAAAATGGATGTAAAATATATATGAAGAGAATGCTTGCCTCCTTCATCACTGTATGTATATAAATTTATTGAAAAGAGCAAAACACTTTGAGATTTTCTTATTCATTCCATTATTTCCTTTCTGTTCCATTATTTTCTTTCTGTTTGTTTGATGTTTTACTTTTCTTTAAACAGGTCTAGTTAACAGAAAAGAACATGTCACCTGAGGCAAATTGCTAGAATTCACAGAATTCAGTTGCATAATCTACCCAGTGGAAGTACATGGATATGTGACATTTTCAATGTGGCTTGTTAAAGACAAATAAATTACTTTTTAAAAGGATCCAACTACTTTAAAAACAAAAATTTAAATCCTACCAAATAGCCTATTAACTTTAAAAAAGTTAATAGGTGTCTTAAATTTCTTACATCTTAGCTTAGTTATTATTAGTGCGTACTTCACCTGAAACTGGAATTTATACAATGTACTTTATGAGACTGTTTTGGTTTGTTTAAAAGAGTTTAGGTTTACTTTGAAGTGTAGTTGATCTGAAAATGAATTTGATTTTGAACCAGTTCTAATAATGTTTTAAATACTAACCCAAGACCTCCTTGGTATCTGCAGCTTTAGAGGATTCTGATGTCTAGGTGATTGCATGAAATCTTTTTATTAAGAGTTGTAATCTATATTTAAAACCATAAAGCTATAGTTTTAAAACTATATTTTTATTGATTTACTTAGAAAGGTGAAGAAAGGCTCACTGTTAATAGATTCCAGTACTATTGATCCTGCAGTTTCAAAAGAATTGGCCAAGGAAGTTGAGAAAATGGGAGCAGTTTTCATGGATGCGCCCGTGTCTGGTGGTAAGTGACTAAAACATGCATACCAGTTCCTGTTTGTCAGAGTAGCAGTTAATAGTTTTGTGGGACCCTGAATAATATTCAGTTATTTTTAGAGCTCTTCAGGATTCTCAGTTCCTGTAGTAAAAATAAAAACAAAACAAAGTTAACATCATTAAGTACTTTCAAGAGACAACGTTTATTCTCAATTCAGATAAAAGTATGTTACCCTTTGAAGAGTTGTTGGTTTTTGGTTCAGAATGCTGTGGGCCTGAGTAGATCAGTTGTCATGTAGATTAACCTTTTCATAACTGCTTAAAGAAGTAAATGATGTTGTAATTATAATAGAAATCCAAAGTGGTAAAAAGAATAAATACTGCACAACAGAAAGATTAGGTGCAAACAATTTACAGATAAATATCACGTGAGTTTATAGGAGAAGATTGTGTCAAATTTTGTGTAAACAAAACTTTCTAGATAGTAGAAAAGAAGTGCTTCACATCTTCATGCTGTAGGGCCTGTATAACTGTGATGCTTAAACCAGACAGAAAAACATTATGAGCAAAAAATTATAAGCCTGTGTCAGTCTAAATGTAGAAGGAAAACCTTTAAAAAGGCATAATAAGTTTTAAAAATGATGGTAGGTAAGAAATATATAGAATATAAGCTACTTCTTAGCACACATAAGTTTCAATAAATATTAACTATTATTTTAAAAATAGTATACTATCAAATTAAATCCAGCCATACAAAAGAGATCAAATGTTGCAGTTGGGTTCGGTTTATCACACACACACACACACACACACACACACACACACACACACATTCACAGATGACTGAATACTAGAAAGTCTAATATACTTTGAAATGCAAATACTTTTTACCACATAAACATACTTAAAATTATGTGATCATTTCAATAAGAGGACAAGAGGACTCATTAATAAAATTCTAAATGTTTATTGTATCAAATATTAGTAGAAGTATGTGTATCTGGAGTGTTTTAAATGACAGGATTATACAGGTATTTTCCAGATGTCTAAATTTTCCAAAAATAATGTGTAATTAGATACCATATATGGAGTGTGGGGATGGTATAAGGGTTTTGATTATCAAAAACCAATAAGCAGTTTCAAACTTGGTCTGACTAGCTTTTCTTTTTTATTAATAGAATAGAATTCATAAAATATGTCTGGGTGTTTCTGATACTATCATTTGATAATGAAACATTACCAGTGTTTTGTTTGTTTTTGTTTTGTTTTTGAGTCACACCTGGCAGTGGTTGGTGGATATTTCTTTCACCTTGATGCTCAAAGAACCAGACAAGGCTGAGGGTCAGACTTAGGACTGCCATGTCCATGCTTAATTAACCCTTAACTCTTCCACCACCTCTCTTTGGCTGCCAGTTTGATTTTTAATGCTATTGACTGGTGTGTGTGTGTTGGGGGCAGTGGGGTGGGGGGAGGACTTTTGGTCAGACCTTGCACTACTGCAGGGGGGATCATGTCAGGGACTGAACTGTGGTCTGTCACCTGCTAGCCAAGTGCCTTATTCCCTATACTAAGTCTCTAGTCCATAATGTTATTTTAGATTTGAAAGTATTGTCTTATTCTGAGAAAACTGAAATCACTTCTCACTAAGCTATTTTTGGCTTTACAAAAGTTTGAGAATACAAAAATAGACCTGAATCTTAACCTGTATTATATATGGAAAGCTTTGTGGTTGTGTTTGTGTTTATTGACAGACAAATGATCATTATGAGATTGGTTAGTGCCCTGTGTTGTCAGAAGCTTTTATTTATCTTGTGATTATTACTTTTACATTTTTAATATGTAAAAGGTCAATTAAAAACAGCTCTACCTTTTTACTTAAAAGAGAAAACTTTCCATGTGTTTTTGGATAAAATTAAAGAGATCTGGGAAAATGATTTATATACCCAAGGTGGGTCCATAATTTTTAGAGGTTCTGTGTTAATACTTTTAAAATTTTAAAAGCTGGAGATAATTTTTGAATAAAACTTAAACAATTCCTTTAATTTCCCTTTTTTCTCCCTCTCATTTTTTCTTATTTCAGATTATTAAAAATGCATTAACATGAATTTATAGAGAGATATGAACAGACACAATACTATTCTGAAAAATGTTAATAGGAGCATTCTTTATTCTGTGGTTAGTATTTTAATAAAGGGTTATCCTAATGCAGATGAATTAATATTTTATAGACATTTGAGCACGTGATTGGTTTCTCAAGTCTAGACTTTTCCTCTGCTTTGTATTGACTATTAATCTGGGGGAGTAAAATGTAAAGAACCTTTACTGTGTCACTTTCTTCCCACTAGACCAGCCCATGGAGTGACAGATAGAAGGTTTTCCCTGGTTTTTATTTTGGTATTTATTAGACCAGAAGTTCCCAAACTTACTTGGCCGACCATTCCCTTATCAGAAGAAAAAAATCAGCACCCTCCTAGAATCACTCCTCCCTCCCTCCCTCCCTCCCTTTCTTCCTTCCTGTTTCTTTTTCTTTTTCTTCTCTTTCTTGGACCACACCAGCAGTGCCCTGGTATTTCTCCTGGCTCTGCACTCAGAGATCATTCTTGGCAGGGCTCAGGGGTCCATATAGGATGCCGGGGTTGGAAACCAGGTTATCACATGCAAGGCAAGAACCTTCCTGCTGTAATATCTCTCTGGCTCCCACCTTCTTGGGATAGATAAACAGAAAGTATCTCCTAGTTGTATCCAAGATTACTGCTACTCTAGGTTGTTCCATTATCTCCACCCCATGGGATGGTATTGCCTACTCTGGTCAACAAAGTGTAGACCCGTAGTATCATACTATCTCTTGCTGTTCTGTGCATTATCCTCATTATGGTCACGGTCACGGTCCTCCCGTTGTTCATCGATTTGCTCGAGCGGGCCCAGTAACGTCTACATCGTGAGACTTACAAATAGTACAATTTTATTTAAGTTCTCTATCACTTAAAAGATGCTGAACTGTTACTATTATCCCAAAACCTTTATACTTGTATAGTTTTATTCTCTCTGTGTGTGTATATATACACATTCACACATATACACACACACTCTACACACTGATAGAGACTGTACTAGAATCAGACAGGATTAATACCCTGCATTTTATAGCTCATTCCGTTGATTTTCTTTATGGTTTAACCATTATGTTTTTATTTCTAATCCATAGTTTATTTTCCATGATAAGGACATTAAAGAAATAAAGTCATAATGAATGTTTCTGTGACTTATTTTTCTACGTGGTGCTACACTCCTAATTGTCATCTATATTATACATACAGCTGTGGGTCAATTCAGTGCCTCTGGGAGACAGCAGTTGCCTTTTCTCTGCCCTTCAGGGGGTGGTGCTGAGGGGCAGGGCTGTGCCAAGTGGAGCATGGCACCACCCTGGTGATGCCCAGGAACTGCCAGGGCACACACCGCAGTGTTGTAGGGGGTTAGAATAGGGCTCCTCACAAGCAGGGCCTGTGCTCTACCCCTTGAGCTACATTTGTGGCTCCTGACTATTCCATTCTTACATGCCATGGATGTGGTTTAGATTCTTTCTTTCACCCTAGAAGATAGTTGGTCTTCATAGATGTTTCAAATTTTGGCTTGGCTTCAACTGGAGAAACAACCCTGTGAGGCTGACAGCAGAGTGATAATATTCCCATCTTATCAAGGATGGGAGTGATACCTAGAAATAGTAACTTCTCTCACACTGTCGTTTGGTGGAGTTGGACTGTGTTGGAAGTCAGTATGTTCTTTGTTTCACGTTCTTTTACATGTTATTTTCTACGAAGTTCTAATTTGTTCTAAGAAAAAAATAGATTCCTAGCAGAATACTGTCCTTTAAATGACAAAATCATTCTCTGATTTCACTCACACATGGGACTTGAAGTAGCAGGGTTGCGACAGAGGGCCAAAGTCAGCACAATGGAGAATGGATGTACACAATTGCATTGATGTGGAGGGGGTTGAGAGACTCTTTGTGGGAGAGAGGTGGGTGCACTGGTGATGGGTGTGATGTTGGAATTGTGTATGTAGAAGACCATCATTAGCAGTATTGTAAATCGCAGAACTGTAATCAGTTAAAAATAAAATATAAAATTATTCTCAGTATTTAAAGCTAATTATAAATGTGGTCTCTTATCACAGTAATGGCCCTTAGTGATCCACATCCTTCTGTCCTCATACCATGTGTCCCTTCCCTGCACTGACTTTAGACTGTCTGAATGGCTTTGCCGGGTGGTAGGTTCACAAGTGTTACCCAGGGAGAGGCTTCGAGGCCCTTGGACCTGTGAGTTTTGCCCTATTTGGCCTGCTGGAAACTTGTCTGCAGGCTGCATGGTGGAGCATGTGGGCTGGCCTGCTGGCAATGTATGCTGACCACTGAGCCTATGAGTGAGACCGTCTTGACACTGCTGCTCTAGTCTCCCGTTTCTAGGTACCTGTAGCCGCTCGTCTCACCGCAGAACTGACCAGTAGATGCTGCCTAGGGAAGCTTCGTTCAAATTGCGTACCCACAGAATTGTGAACCTGTAAAGCCACTACTGTCACTGTCACTGCCCTCCCATTGTTTATCAGTTTGCTCGAGCAGGCCAGTAACGTCTCCATTGTGACACTTGTTACTGTGTTTTGGTATATCGAATTCGTCATGGGTAGCTTGCAAGGCTTTGCCGTGCGGGCATGATACTCTCAGTAGCTTGCTGGGCTCTCCGAGGGGGTGGAGGAATCGAATTGGGGTTGTCCGAGTTGGCCGAGTGCAAGGCAAACGCCTTACCTGCTGTGCTATTGCTCCAGCCCAAAGCCACTGCATTTTGAAATATTAGGTAGCAAGAGACACCTGAGGAAGTCAATATGGTTGATATTTCTGTAATGCTGTAGAAGTGTTCATTACTTACTATGTCAATCTGTGTGCTCTCTGTGCTTTTTCAGTGTGTTAGAGATCCTTTCTGAAGGAGAACTGATGTAACGTATTAGTATAAAGGCCAAATGTAATGTCGAAGTAGA